ATGTTTAACTTTATAAAACATTGAGATATTTTTGGAGATTTTGTTTTCAATAGATTTAATATGATATTTCCATGATATATTTTCTTCTATAATCATTCCTAGAAAGTTAACCGTTGATTCTCTTTAAATAGGTGTTTTATTCATAAAGAGATTGGGTAATTTTAAAGAAAGATCTCCCCCACTAGGTTTGTAAAATAAGATAAACTTAGTTTTCTAAACATTTAATGAAAGTTTATTAATTGTAATCCAGTCCTTTATTTTTGATAATTCTTCGTTTGATATTCTAAACAGATTTTTTATATTATTTTATAACTATTTGAATAAAAAAAATCCGAATCATCAGCCAATAAGATAACATTAAAAATTTTGGATACTAAATATAAATCATTTATATAGAATAAGAATAATATTGGGCCAAAGATTGATCCCTGGGGAACACCACAAGTTATAATATGTTTTTCTGTTTCATTTGCTGATTATATTATAAATTGTTTACTGTTTGGCAGGTAACTTTTAAATCATAGTAAGTTATTGATTAGTATTCCATACAGTTCTATTTTTTTTATAAAAATATCATGGTCAACAGTGTCAAATGCTTTTGATAAATCAATAAAAACGCCTAATATATAATAATCATTACTGAACCCATCGGATATATAATTTATTAACTCGACTAGCACATGATCCGTTGAATGATTCTTTTTGAACCCAAATTGTTTATTATAAATTATATTGCTCTCAATTAAATAACTATTAAGTCTATCATACATAATTCTTTCTAACAATTTTGAGAAACATGGTTAGACAAAAATAGGTCTATAATTTGATATATTTGTGTCATCGCCAATTTGAAAATAGGTATTATCTTAGCAGTTTTTAATTTCTCTGGTACAATTCCGGATTTTAGTGACAGATTAAAAATGTAAAACAGTGACTGTTCAATAATATCCAACACTGCTTTAACAACATTCACGCTAATTTGATCTATGCCAGCACATTTATTATTTTTTAGACAGTTAAAGGTATTTCGCAACTCATGTTTAATTTTACTTCTTTCATAGATGTATCCCAGCAAACACAAGACGTTTGTAAGACCGTCTTACTTAGGTCTTTAAATGGTCTTGTCTTCGAAAAACGTCTTTAAGACGTTTAATATATAAACACTAGACATTCGGTATCGTATAAGTCGATACCGAGAAGAATGGTCTCGTATCGCTTATATACTAATGTCGATACTATCAGTATCGGTTTGATACCACTCGATACCGAGAAAGATGGTCTCGTATCGTGTGGTATCGCTATGTTCCAATGTCAATACTATCAGTATTGCATTAATACCAAACGATACCGATAATAAAAGCTTATCTGCTTTGTCAGTTATGACAAGGCCAGAAGCAGAAAATGCTCTTTCAGATGATGCAGAGGTTGATGAAGTAGCCAACCAAGATCTTGCAACACCCGAAAGGATAGGAAGTTCCGCTGCATGCTGCTTCCACCATGCTAAGGTGTCAATTTTACCTGCATTTTTGAATCTAATTGTTTTTTAATATTTTTCCATTTCTAGTTTAATAGGAGAGTTTTTTTGTATATGAGGTGAATTAGTATCTTCCTTATACTTTGCTAACATAATATTGTATTCATTTTCCTCTCAACCTTGTGCGTTATCAGCAACGGAATCGTTCCTACCGTTGTTATTACTGGAGCGTGAGACAGACAATGAAGAATTCTCAAAGTATTTTTTGGTTGTGGGATGGTTTTCAACCAATTTCTGAATATTTTCAAAAACTGGTTGAAAATATGCCATATTTGATGGCTGATCAATAACACACAGCTTATTGTGTATTTTTTTTTAATGATTCAGGGCATGACAGTGTGTTATCAAGTACTTTTGCAATTTTGATACCAGTGTGTCGCTCTTTGAATAGGCACACTTCTAATGTAAATTTCTTTAGGGCAAAGTTTGGCGAGATATAATGTAATGTCACGGACATGTATGAATCATTTGCCCTTGATGTCCAGTGGTTGGTGGTTATGGCAACCTGATTAAGATCTATGAGCTCTTTTTCCATAACTTTATGCATTACTACCTTCAGTGTATGATAAAGCCGAGGGAGTTTATTTTTTGAGAAAGTCGTTGAATGTTTTATTGTGGCATTTGGTAATATTGTGTTCATAAACCTCTTCAGAATTTTTAGAATTAGCAAAACTGAACGGCAAACACTCAGTAGCAATCAAAGAAATGATGCCATGATCAACTACTAATTGACCCTGATCTTGAAGTGACCACTTTTTTGTAACCGCCTTCTTTGGGAGAGTGAAGTTTTAAAGGTACATCTTTTGCGAAACCAGAGACACCTGCCTCGATTACGTTTAGTTCTTCATCTCCTTGTGATCTCCGCTCGTCTTCTTTTTTATGAAGTTATGAAGTATTTTTTATTTTTCGATGAATAACTTCCTATGTTGTGTTTGAATATGCTTTTCGCAAACCAGTAGTATTTGC